TACTTCATAAGCATTTGTTTCAATTGAGTGTGCTAGCTTATCAGCTTACCTTTAAAATGTCTTGTATCACCAAATGTATATTTTCTTAATTTTTTTTTGAAAGCACTGTTTACTAAATTTTCCCAGAAAGGGAAAGTTGAAAAGTACATACTTTCTTTGCTTGAGTAGTAAGATGTTCTATGTTAAGGGAAGACCCTTAGCCATACTCCATCGTGCTTCATTTCCTCATTCCATGTACTCTTGTGATTTTTCCTGTCAGAGCATCCAAGTCTTCTCATTATCTCACACTCAGTATATGTAATTATTATTTTAAAAATCTATTAGATGAGGAAAGAATGGTGGAGCAGAATCATGGAAAGCCAAAGCAAATTGCTACCTGTTAATTTTGTTTGTGTATTTGGTAAAGAGACTTTTCTGCAGCATATTTTTAACTATCAAACTTTCTGCTAGTGCCATCTTTAATATCAAATAATATCTGCAGACATTCCTGTAATTTTCTTTTGACTGTAGTAGTTAAGAAAAATCCAGAATCTTACTATCTTTGCTACCTTGGAAAACCATTGTCTACAAATAAAAAGGATTTCAAATTATATACACCCTATTTATTTCATAGTGATGGTATGCTATCTAAAAAAAAAAATGGTTAGAGGTTTTCTTCCTATAGCTTCCTTGTTATACTGAGATTTGTCTGAAGAGGGAATTGAAACACATTACCAACTTTCCACCTAGTCTCATCTGTAAGTTATGCAAAAGACATTTCTTGGAATTGTTTCTTTTTAAAAATATATATATTTTTATTGATTGCAGAGAGGAAGGGAAAGGGAGAGAGATATAGAAACATCAATGATGATAGAGAATCATTGATTGGCTGCCTCCTACATGCCCCACAACCTGGGCATGTGCCCTGACTGGGAATAAAACCATGACCTCCAGGTTCATAGGTCGATGCTCAACCACTGAGCTACACCAACTGGGCTGGAATTGTTTCTTTGTGAATTAGGCCCATTCCATTTCCCACTCCTCTATGAATATATTTTTAAAATTCTGCTATACCTTTTAATAGCAATCACAAAAATTATTTTTAAATTTATGTTAATATTGTCATTTTAGTTATAGAGAATATATGTTATTAATATCATTTTACTACCTATATTTATATTTTTTGGTAGGACTATTTTTTCTTAAAAATTACAATATTTTTTCATTTAATGTTACTTAATTTATAAATAAATAAAAGTTTTCTTTATTCTACATTAAATTCATTTTTTAAAGTGTCCTGCAGACTTAGCTATTCATGGATAGTAAAACTTGCAATAGGGGAATGAACGTTTCTCTTAGATGTTAATGTTTTTTAATTCTTGTATAGATAAGTATAGACTTTGTTAGCCTTTTTACTTTTTCTAATATTTATATAGGAGGAACAACCTATCTGCTTATTGGCCATTTTTTCCCTGCCACTTACATTCATGCTTAATGGGTTCATTTCTTGTATTCTTTAGAAGATGAATATCTCATTGACACAGCAAATTTTATTTTTTTTGTTCTAAATATATTTTTATCCTTGATGTATTACAGTAATCTCTCATTTTACCCCTTTTACCTCCTTCCTTCCAGCCCCTCCCCACTCTTCACCACCCTATTGCCCATGTCCGTGGGCTATGCATATAAGTATATAAGTTCTTTGGTTTATCTCTTCTGGTCCTCCTAGCCCCACATCGAGGTAGGTCAGCAAA